TGTAAACTCCTCTAGGTGCTTCATGTTGGCCTGAGAGCTGTCGTTTTAGTTTTCATAGACAGCTGTTTGACAAGGGAACTCCCTCAAGCATGTTGGACTTGAAGTGGGATGAAAACGATGTCCACCAAAGGGCCCAACCAATGCAGACCCATCTGCGGATTGCGCGCTGTTGGGTATGCTAGCGCCGTGAGCTGAGCGCCTTCCCCGAGCCCTTTTTGAGCATCACGGCTGCCAACTTAAGGAATGGATGATCACGACTGCGGACTCCGTACGAGAACCCTGCCCATGATCCATATCAAGGGAGTACCGACCATGGTCCAAGATGAGGTTTGGAGAGATTTTCCGAAAATCAGGGACTTGCTAGTTTACCCAGCCCATGGAGGGTATAGCGCTGCAAGCTTGTGGGGGTCCAATTTCGAGGACGGTCTTCTACATACTCTTGCGGATCTGTAGAAAGGGAATGCCTGAAGGCATGAGCTATCCACTAAATTCGAAGGCTTGGACCGAGTATCTCTGGTCCCAAGGTGCTCCCTTTCAGCCTTTGAAGGCTGCCAGACTCGGTACTTTGATAGGGTCCCCGTGCTGCTTTGCGGCCCCCTGGAATTTGCCACCTCGTTTTACTCCCACAGTGTCCACATCCCAATCCTCCCTCCTTCTCTCTCACAAAGTGCCTTCCTCCCGGTCCTGACATTCCGTAATTTTGGGCGGTTCAGGCACCACCCTTTGGAAAGGGTTGCTGCTTGGACACATAAGAACTCACCAAACCCCCCTCTTATTTGCTGCGGCCACTCGGCCTGCGAGGCCCCGCATGCAGCCGGGCTGCCGCCGGTTTCCGCCCCTCAGCCTGCCCTCCACCTGGATGCTGCTGAGCCTTGAGGCGGACGTTGGTCGCACACAAGAGGCTTTGGGCATGAATTTGGGCGGGGATTCATGTCCACCAACCGCTCCAAGGTTCCCTATAAAAACTTAGAGCCATATGTTTGGGTCTCAAAATGGGGGGCGCCCCTCCAACACGGTTGGAATTCCCGTCGCAAAAATATGTGGAAGCCGAAAACCGGCCCCAAGATTCTTGCCGAAAAGGATAGTGTAGAAGATGTTTTTGACAAATGAATAGGTTGTTATGTGATTCTTCTTGCAGGCAAAGAAGGACAACCCCTGACTGCATTGACTTCCGTATCCACCCACAAACACGGTGAAATTGCGACCCGGTGTCAATTCTGCGCGTATGTGCCAGAGCAAGCTCGGGAATGTGTGGGCGTTGGAAGCTAGTGGGAGTTAAATACAGGTTGGGGCAGTGACCTTTGGAATTCCCTGTACTCACTCCCCGAGTAAACAAACAATTTAGACTTTTCTTGCACTCGGGAAGTGGGCAAAAATGGTCCTCAAACGACTAGCTGCCTTGAGCTCAGTTAAGATACCTGGCAGACCCTTGCAAAATGGGCAGTTTTCTTTGAGTGTCCGTTTGGACCACCGGCCAAAAACGGATCTGCCCTTTTGAGAACCTCTTCGTAGACAACCTTGAGCACAAAAGAGAGAGAGACCAACCGACCGAGCAAGGCAAAGAAAAGAAGCCAAACTGATCCGAACTGCTGAGCAAGGACACCACCGAACAACCCAGGAAACATGTGCCACTGAGGATGAGCACACAGTTAATGTTGACCTCGGATTGACAAACCCCTGTTTATCAATATGGGGGTAGTGAGGATTTATCACTTTTGGAGGGGAACACCCCCCATAGTAGTACTCAGGGGTTTATTAATCCGGGGTCAACATTAAGAAGCAGAGGAATACCAAGATACATAAACATTGCGAGGGAGAAGTTGTTGGGAGGTAAACTTTCCCGGCATTTGGGAAGCAGGGAGACACAAACCAACCCGCGGCTAAACAAGAGAGACCAAAGGACAAAGACACAACATGTTTCACAGTGCTTTGGGCGGCGGCCGAAAGAGAGCCATATTTTGGCTCAATGCGACCTTCGACAGGATGAGACTTGCAGACGTGTATTTGAGTGGTATGCAAAGCGTCACTGAACGGCTTTTTGAAAAACAACCTTTTGGTCCGAACACTTGTGGATAAGAAAGTGTGAGCCACACTTGCTGATACAGTTGAGGCTGCCATTGGCACAAGGATCTTTGCCACGCAAATAGCAGACTTGCACGTAGCAGTTTTTCTGCAGCGAGCCACGATTAGAAGTAGCTATTGGTTTGACTCGGCTTTGACATTTGTACGTCTCTCGTTGTCAATCCCAACGTTTTTATTCTTTCTGCAATGGTGCCCGTGGGGAGTGCACAGCGCTCGTTGTACGGTAGCTTGCCATATGTCTAGATCGTTTTCCATCATATTTTGAAATATTTCCCTGGCTGACTTTCCAGCCAGGCCGACCAGATGATCAAGTCGACTTCATCCTTTAGTTCTGTCCGCTGGCTGAGTGCTTTTTGGCAGAGCTCGGATTCTTTAAGAGCATAACCCCCGATGGCAGTCCCATGTCCTTTCCAAATGG